AACTTGGAGAATCGGAAAATAATCAGAAATCGAAAATAATCAGAAATCGAAAACAATCAGGAAAACCTGGGAAACAAACCGGGAATTTGATGGGAACCTTGAAATATATATGTTTATACCCATGTTAATTAGTTTCTGTTATTAAAACGTCTAAGTCCGGTATCTCGAATATTTTAATTAATCTTTATTAATTTCTAATTAAACAATTTCCCTACCCTTGTCTAGTTTTTAACCTGGACGTTGGTGGGCCGGCCTAATCTTATGCTTCATAGTGGAGCGTTGGAGACGGTTGGTTTAGGTCCGGCATCGTTGGCTCATGCCGTGACAGAATAGCGTCATAAGCATGCGTTGAGGATTACTGAGCGTCCCCTCTCTGATGAACCATTGCATGAGAGAACCAAACTTCTAGCCTGAAGTGATGGTATCACACTTGTTACTCCTTTGTTTGAGAGCCGCGTTGTAGTACGCTTACGTATAGGCACTGGGCACAGTGCGATACTGGCGAGTTTTTCCGCAAATCACTCTTTATTTTATTTATTTTTACGCAGATAGATTTATTTGGGCTTGCAAGGGTATTATACTATTGAAATATTTCAGAAAGTGCCCAACAGTGCTCCTTCTATTTGCGTGACAAGCTTTCATTGTTGTTTTCATTGAAGCATTACTCAGGGAACAATGTTAAACACCATTTTTGTACATGGTATTGTAACTAATCTTATATGTGCTTCATTTTGATTTGGGATAAGTGTTTGAACTATGGCTCAGGATTTCCACTGTGGTGTGCTTCTATTGTGACATATCCATACGTAATTTTGTGGGACTACATAGTGGAAACGTGTGAGTGTAGTTGGAGCATATACCCTATATAATTTAAAAATCAGCTAGGAAACTAATTTCAAAGTGAAGCATTTTAGTCACTTGAAAGTGTCACCTGGGTCGATCTAAGATATAATAAATATAAATCAAAGTCAAAATTACAGCAGTTTAGGTACTTAATAAAGCATGAGCTATGAGGTAAATTAGAGATTTCAATTATTTATTAAATTAGACTAATGAGATATCATAATCATCAAATGAACTTAAATAAGAAAATTGAGACAGCCTAATGACATTAAGTAGATTAACAAAAGAGTTATGATGCGGGGGTCCGCTTAGGGAGGCAACTAGGCTTTAAAGCAACTGGCAACTAGCCTTTTCATATATTGTCTGTTTATTTTGATGGTTGCTTTAAAATATCAATTTGGTATATATGTGAAAGGATGAATCAGTGGGAGATGGATTTTCGGTTTCTTTACATTTTGCATCACAAATCTAGTACTAGGTGTCATTTCCTCAAAACGCCCCAATAACCGACCTATTCAATCCCTTCCTTTTCCCATGGCATTCAAGTGGACCGCATAGACTATTCAGCCATTACCCTTCCTTTATCATCGGCTTTGGATTGACTTGCGCTCCCATTGTCCCACCAAACGCTGCAAAATGAAAATGAAAATGAAATTAATTTCTAATTAAACTAATTTTGAACTTTTCCTTAGCATGGGATACCAAAATTCATGCCTAAGATCTAAAATAGATAGCCATGTCTCAGAGTTTAAAACATTTGTTAAGTCAAATATCGTCCAAGATTTTCCTAAATTCTCGCAAACAATTGATTCAATTTCTCCCCCTAGTTTCCTTAAGTTTAACTTTCAATGTTCCTCTGAAATCTCTTGGTAGGCCCATAAGAATTCAGAAAGTATTTTCCTTAGAATTCTGTTGAAATTCTTCTCAAAATTCCGTTGAGAGAATTTCCGGGTATTCTTATGAAGCTCTCCTTACAACTGGAAATTCCTGTAGAATCTCATGGTACGCTACTCCTATTTTGTATGGAAAAAAAATGCTCAAAATTATTTACCTTGCATTTCCAATTTGATATCCTCTCGGACAGAGCTGGAAAGCACCTCAGAGCGTTAGCAAAGCAACTTTGTGCATGTGTCCCACAACACTCGACAATCTGTGAAAAAGCGATCCACACAATGAGCGGTACACTCCGTGCGGCACAGGGAGCGAATATAATACTACAAGCGCTAATGTCTTCTTTGAATTCTTTGCAGACTTTGCTTACCACGACTGCATGCATAGGAAATGAAGAAGAGCATAACAAAGAAGAATATTGTCTTTTTGCTGGGTTTCCCATTTGCAACCCTACACTGAGTGGTGCTCTTTACGTCGGAGCCGTCAGAGCGATGGCTACACATCGAGCTTTCGTTATTTCTGAGTGTGTGTCTGTCTTCTCTTCTCCGTTGCTTTACACTTGCGCAGGGTGAAAGACAAGTAAACTTTGTGTTTGCTTGATTTTCACTTTGTTTATTTCAGAAAATCAGTACATTGCGCGCATTGAGTGATCAGATGACAACCCGGCTCTCGGATATTCCCTTGAAATTCTTAGTGATTCTCTTAGAAAAATGCTTGAAAATATCTTCGAACTCGCTTGAAATTCTGCAAACTATTTTTGGCGTATGATTACGTCTTTCGGCAACAATTGGGGGTGCAATTGAAAAAAAAAAAAACGAAATCGATCGCGTTACGAAAAGTAGTCAGGTATTGACCACTTATAACTCTGTCAATAGCGGATGGATTTTAATTCTAAACAAGCCAATCGATTGGTAATTTTTCTACAAAGCTGCTAAAATCAATACTTCATACATACAAAACTACACAAACGTCCAACTGTTGCAATGGTGATCAAAATTATCACCGATTGCCTGCAAAAAGTGGTTTCCCTAACATAGTCGCCAAATATTGATACCGATCACGTAATCCTACATCAAATCTACGGTCGAGTCTTGGATACAACCTCTTACTTTTTTTCTATCTATGTTCAGAATTAGATTCTCTGGGAATTATTATCGATATTCAATTTAAACTATTCTTACAATTCTATGATTGATTAGTTAAAATTCAAGAGAATTTCAGCTGTAGATGATCTTGAGGGGTAGGGTTGAAATTGCATCCATATCATCATTAAGTTTGTCGTAGAGTTAATTCATTTTGAATCCTGCATCGAATTCCTTTAGAAGGCTCGCTGCAATTCCTTCAGAGTTTCTTCAGAACACGCTGGAAGTCTACTAATAGTCCCGATAATAGTCTATTCAGGCCTACCCTGGAATTCACCTTTAGTTCTCCTTAACATTTTCTTGAAGTATTTCTCAAAATTACCTGAAACATCTCGTCAAACTCCTTTGGAATTGCCTTAAAATTCTTTAGAATATCCTCAACGAGAATGAATTGTAGAGGACTACAAATCTTATCAAAATTCACTAGATAATTCTCATAAGTGTTAGAGTTCTAAAATTTTATTGAAGTACAAGATTCATGATTTTTATTTTTAATCTGAGATCTTTAAAATTACGAATTTAAAAAAAAAATGGCTGGGATCGAAATCCTAAAAATTTTCACATCTTCTTAGTAATCTACGAAAAAAAAAATATTCTTAGTCCAAGATCTCAAATGTTATTTCGTAGATCTCATTTCATTTTCTCAAACTTTAATCTCACGATCTAAAGTTTCAACTATCACTTTATAACATTGGTTTTAATGACCCACGCAGGTTAATGACCTTCAAAAAATTTACATGTAACTACTTTTAAAATCCTGTCAAGTTTCATACTTCAAACAAAATATCTAAAATATGGAACCTAATTTGACAACCTGTTGCGATCTTAAACCCTAAAAAATTGTCTTAATCCTGATTTATTTTAGTTGATGTTTTACGGCGCCGGTCGTGTAGTGGTAAGCGTGACTGCCTTTCACTCCAAAGGGCCTGGGTTCAATCCCAGTCCGCGCCGTCCGGATTTTCTGAGGCATACAATTTTTGATCACGCCTTCCTTCGGCAGGGAAGTAAAGCCGTTGGTCCCCGGTCCAGTTGATGGGTCGATAGGTAGGGTTCAGGTGTGGGAGCTGCCTCCCTGGTGTCGGTTGCATTGGTAGTCAGTACGGAAAACAAGATCGACGAAAAACAAATCAAGGAAAAATAAAATGTTTGTAGTCTTTTGTAACTTTTTTTTTCTAGTGATTTTTTTTTTGCTAAAATCAACCGTGTCGGTATTCCTTTTTGTTTAACATATATTGCAGTTAATATGAAAACTAGGAAACATTTTTGGCTTAAGCCAACTCAGTAGAAACTGTGTTTGACTCCCTGCAACTTATTTGGAACAACTTTCTGCAACTGCAATTTTAAGATAAAATTATTGGCTTCTACAACGTATGAAAAACGATTTCTGGTTTCTGCCACTGCTCAAGAACGCTTTTTGAGCTTTCTACAGCTTCGATTATTGGCATCCATAGCATATTAGAATCGATTATCGGCTGCCACAACTCATAAGAATCAATTTGCGGCTTGTGCAACTTTTTAGAAACGATTTTCGACTTCTGCACCTTGCATGAAATCGCATTCAAAACAGCTCTAATTGCGCACTTATGAAACCTTTTTGCTTTGCTTCCCTTCATCAGTGCACTATGACGCACTTTACGTTCAATAAGAGCAGCTTGCCTTAGCTTGAAAGCATTCAAATTGCCACATCCGATTCTCGATATCAAAACTCAGGAAATTGTCTCATTACATAAACGTTCTGCCAGTGTACTCTCGGTAAACGGTTATTACTCATCCAACGAGTTCTACCTCGTACTTCTATTCCTCCTGCTCCTCATCCGCCTCCTCTCGTCCGGTTGGAATTTCCCGCACACCTGCCAATTATAATGAATGATGATGCATTCCACTCGTGCTTCGAATGGGTGCTATCGATAAGTCTCTGTCTATACAAGTTGAAATTCTTCCAGCCGATAAATGCCAATATCGATTACCAAATTACTCCGATCCATTTTCCAATCGATGATTTCATTCCAAATTCAAATCGAATCTGAAACCGGTGACGACGATCAATCTCTCGCTCATCGATCTACGCCGACAAACGCCGATAAAACAAATCATTCTTACCTTTCGATTAATCTTCATTTCCAGTGAGCTATCGACGAATCGGCTTGGCTACGACGCAGTGCAAGCACAGGTGGTCAACCTTAGCAAATTACAAGTTCTGTAAGTGTACAGCAATCGTTTATCGCCGTAAATCACTGTAAATCGTCTTATCTCATTTATTTTATCCCCTTCAGCAATCTCAATCACAACAACCTGGGCCGGATACCGACGTTTTGGGGTCTGAACAGCCTGCTCCGGTTACAGCTGGCTAACAATGGGATTGCGGCGATCGAAGTCGAAGCGCTGACGAAGTTGACGGGTCTTAAGTTTTTGGACCTGTCGCGGAATGACATCAAGGACATCCACTATGGATCATTTCCGGCCAAGAACAGTTTGCAGTATTTGAATTTGAACTTCAACAGGCTGTCGACGCTGGGGAAAGGCACCTTTCAGCGGCTGAAGTCGCTGAAGAGATTGTGAGTACTTTTGCTGCTTGGGATGATTGAATCCGAAATAACCATCATTTATCTATTCCAACAGGGAAATCAACAGCAACGCACTGGAAGAGGTGCAGAGTTTAACCTTCCAGAATTTGAACCAACTGAAAAGCCTCAAAATGAACAACAATCGTATCCCCAGCCTGATGGATGGCGTGTTTCACGGGTTGACGACGATCCAGACACTTGAGTTGAACAACAACAGCATCACCAGTATCCGCAAGGGTGGACTATTCAACCTGACGAGCCTTACGAATTTGGCCTTATCGAGAAATGCCATCGTCGAGATCGAACAGGATGGGTGGGAATTCGCGCCGCGTTTGCTCACATTGGACCTTTCCTACAATCGACTGGAATCGGTGGACAAGTATACGTTCGAGGAACTCTCGCAGTTGAAGACGCTCAATTTGGAAGGAAATCAAATATCGGCCATCGGCGAGGGAACGTTCAACAATACGAAGAGCTTGGAGGTGCTGTATCTGGGATTGAACAAAATTTCCTGGACCATCGAAGACATGAAGGGACCCTTCTATGGGTTGCCGAAGCTGGAGAAGCTGTATCTGAACTCGAATGAAATCAAATCCGTCAGCCGGAATGCCTTCATCGGGCTCAAGTCGTTGATGTTGTTGGAGCTGAGTCAGAACAACATTTCGTTCATTCAGAACAATGCCTTCAAGGATACGGTGCGGTTGAAGGTGGGTGGAGAATCTTTGCACTGCTTTTGACATCAGTTTTGACTGAGATATTTTGTGTGTGCGTCGTTTCAGAATCTGATAATGAATTCAACCAATCTGCTGTGCGATTGTAATCTGGTTTGGTTCTACCACTGGATCAAAGAGCGAAAGGATGTATTTCAGCTGGATGCGGAGTGCAGCTATCCAATTTGGTTACGGGGGCAGCTGATTCGGGAGCTGAGTGCTTCCAACTTTTCGTGTTGTGAGTATTTTTTGTATTTTGTGACTTGTTATCCTGTCGGTTCTTGTGGTATGAATTACTTTGGACCACCCGTGAATGACGTGACTGGTTTGTAATAAAGACAAACAACCAACCAACCATAAATGACGTAGCATATTTTTGACCAATTCTAGGACCACCTCGTAGTGTGTTTTGCTTTACCCAATAGCGGAAATCTGTGGTGCGCTATACTGCCCATAAAAGCATAACTGTCCCATATGAATAGGAAATCAAGCAAAGATGGGACAATTATGCGAGTATCGGCAGTATACTTAACAGTTACACTGGCAATACTATATTCAACGCCGCCACCTAGATATAAAAAGAGAACTATTACTGACTTGCTCTAACACGTTCAGTTTCCACTTTGTATTTCCGTTGTTAACTGAAGAAAAAAATCCACTTCAGTATTTCGTCCATTAATCCTTCGACGTTTAATTTCGTGTACCTTAAATCTATTGCCATTATTTACTGTTGTTGATTGTAATCGACAATCGAATTCATCGACTAATTTTAATGTCGATGTAATGGTTGGAATCATTAATTCACATTTTATTGTGAAGCCATCCCATTAATAAGCTTTTAAGAAAGTTGCTGGCATTCATAATTATTAAATAAGAATGTAATGAGACCTACCTTTAAACTAGTTGAATTCCAAGCATTTGCTATAATACTGCCTATAATCGCATATCAGTCCCTTGTGCATTTTCATCAATTTTGAGATAACACTATTCAGTATCAATTGGCTTTAATATGATGCGATAAAGCTAGCGACTTTGATCATGAAAAATGTGAAAACAACATCAAGGCAGTTTGCCCCATCAAGCAAAGTAATCACATATCAGTCCCACCCTTAAATTTAATCATCCAGAGGAGCAATTACAGTTCTGCTTTTCGAGTTGCCATATTTTTCGCTGATATAAAATAACATGCCAGCTTAATCGATGGGATTAACAAGTTTTGAAGTTTTTCGCGATATTTCTGAAAAAAACATGTTACTTTTAGTGCACAGTGTAAAATGCGGTTGTTTACAATCGATTCTAATGAACAACTCATTTCTGTCAAAAATCTTTATGGTTATGCTTTGATGGGCAGTTCTTCCACCGACAAACTGACATGAATGATCATACAAATTACAAAGAAATTCTTTGAAATTCTGATTAACTCACATAACTGACATCTGCCGATGGGATCGCTGCACATTTGAATCGGCCGTTATGGATTCTCGATCAAGAATTATACCCCGTTCACATTACAGAGTATATCACGTGATATACGCTGTCTTGCAATGAGCACTCATACATCTAGTTTTCACTGAAAATCCTATGTATGAGTGTTCATTGCAAGACAGCCTATATTACGTGATATAGGCTGTAATGTGAACGGGGTATTAAGTTCAAGTTTCATGTCGGTTCTGTTGATAAATTTTATAGCCTACGGACAAATATATTTTCAGCAGCATTTTCCTTGGCTTGCTGTTTTTCCCGAGGGGGACGACTCTATCTACGATGCAGGAAAGATTGTGTTTTCCTGTGGCTAGCTGCGTGCACGCTGAGTAGATAGAAAGAAGATTGACGATGATTCTGAAGATTTCCTGCAAAAAGATGATGCGCGATGCAAGTAGATGCGAGAAATGAAAGAAGATTTTTCGAAGATTGATTCGCTAGTGTGAGATTTGTTGAGCATCTAGACTTTAGATTTAGATGTGTCGCCCCCCTCGGTTTTTCCTGGTGCGACTGATATGCTTTTATGGGTAGATAATTTTAAAATATAAAATCTCCCTAATAAACCTAATCAGTCAATCACTTTAAAAATAAAAATGAAATCATGTTGAGTTAGGGGTCGGTCGGTCAATCTCAGATAAAACGGTCGTTTTTATTATGGTGTCGGTTTACTGCTGCATTAATGTACCGCGGTTGAAAAGGATTACATAGAACGTGGGACAGTAATGCGTATAACGGCAGTATAGTCATGCCAATTCTGGAATACAAACTGTATTCTTATTATACGCTAAAGCATGCACCGTGAAATAACTTGAATAAGTCTTGTTACTTCATCAAATCTTATTATCCGATAATGTTCCCGGAAATAACCCTTTTGGAGTTAATTTATCATATTTCTGGCCATGACCTACAAATTGAGTAATAAGACCTGTGAAGTCGTTAGGCTTTCCAAATTCAACTTTTATAAAACGTCCGAATTTTTTTTTAATTTAAATATGAAATCTCTGCAAATCATCCGTAGACTGATCTCATAAGCAGGGCTGGTAGCGAGTCACTTTTTTCAAGCCGTCACTAAAAAGTCTCCTTTTTTAAGGCAAAGTCACTAAAGTCACTTTTTCTTGTAATCAGTTCAACAACTATTTTCAACTTTTATTTCAAGATTGATCATCCTTCTTGAACTGTGTAGGATCTGATAGTCCAATCGATGCCTACATTTGGTTCTAATTTTCGAACAATTCGAAAGAGATTTGTGACGTTTATTCGTCTTTCTCTTACTTTTCCAGGTTTTTCCAGAACTTTAACGGATAAATTCCAGGCTTATAATAAGAAAGCTATTTTTAAATGCGATATAAATATGCTTTTCTTTTGTAAATCAAACACCACAGCAATTAACCCAAGACTTATGCCCGAAAATCGAAAACTGTCAAAACCATAGGATTTTTTGATCTAGATAAAAATGATTTGTCCAGTATAGATCAGACACGAACCAATTCATAACTTTTGCATACGGGTTCATGGCTTAGCTAAATATTTCCGACGAACACAAAGCCAGAAGTCAGTAGGGTGCTTTGGTCACAGGGTGTCTACTACCTGGAAAAACCTGGAAAACCGGGAATATACAGGGAATTTTATTTTTTCTGGGAAAACCTGGAATATTCTGGGAATTTTGGTTCCACTCAGGGAATTTTCCAATTATCACTTCATTCGTAATTCAAAAGAAGTTTTTCGTTCAGTTTCTCGAAACGTTTCTTAAGGATACTAAACTTCACAAGCATCTGACCGCTAAGACAACGTGTGCGAACGAGACAAGTTCATGCAGAGAGTCTTGTCACGCTCGCTCTTCGCTGATTTGTATGTGGAGGATCAAAATCGTCGTAAAAAGGAAACAGCCGAAAAAGAGAGACTGGCAACCGTCAAAAGAAAGCATAAGAATAAGCATGCGAGACAGCAGGTCTGAGAGCCTACATAGAATTTTTTTTGAGCTTCAGAGAGGGTCGGAGATCTACTGAGAAATTTTTTGAGCTTAAGGGTAGTTCGTAGATTGAGAACAGAACTACAAACAAATTAAAAGTTATTAACAGAAATTCATAAAGACAAAATCACAAGAGAGGTGTAGATCTTCAGATAAATGTTCAAAGAAATTTTCAAAACTTCAAGCAAGCAAAAATAATTCCAAATCAATTTGTAAAACTATAAGTGAAATTTTGCAAATCTTCATGGAAATTCGCATAACTTCAGACAAGTCCAAGAATCTACAGTGAAATATAAAGTATTTCACAGAAGTTTGGAGATCCTCGAAACATTATTCAACATCAAAAAAGTTCGTAGATCTTCAGAACAAAGCTACAGAACTTTGAAAAAAATTACAGGACTTCTGAAAAAATCACAAGAATCTCAGAAATTTTAATGGATCTTCAGTAAAAATTGCAGAACTTCAGGGAAGTTCAGCGATTCAAAAAAAAAAATTACATGGTTTCAGGAAAATTTGTTGATCTCGAGAGAGACATTTATAACTTCAAAGAATCTCAAATATTTTCAGATAAATTTTGACAACTTTAGGTAATCTTCAAGGAAATTTTCAAATCTTCAGGGTAACCCGAGATGAATTTACAAAACGTCAGAGAAGTTTGCAGATCTACTGAGAAATTTATTGAGCCTCAAGTTTTTTTTTGTAGATCTTGGGAATAGAGCTACGGAGCGTAAGACAACTATACAGAACTTTAAAGATATTTGCAGGAATTTGACAGAAAGTTTCGCAGTTTCACACAAATGTGAGATCTTCAGAAAAATTCGTTAAATGTCAGAAAAGCACCTCAATTCCAAAAACAAATCACAGCGAAGTACAAAAGTACAATATTTTGCAGAACTCCGTGGAAGTCGGAAATAGATAGATCTATGAAAATTCAGAGAAGTCCGTAGACCTTAAGAGAAGTCCGTAGACCTTAAGAGAAGTCTGTAGAACGTCAGAAAGTTCGTACGTTTTTAGAAAAATTTGCAAAACTTCAGCAAAACTCACAGATCTTCGGGAAAGTTCGCCGATCTTTAGATCAAGAATCCACAAAGAAATTTGAAGAACTTAAGAAAAGTTCGGAGATCTACTGTGAAATTTATTGAACTTCAGGGCAGTTCGTAGATCTACAGTACTTCAGAAAACTTTACAGAATTTGAAATAAATTTTAGGAACTTCAGAAAAGTTCAGAGGGCAGATCGTAAATCTACTCAAAAATAAGCAGATGTTTAAATAAATTTTCAGAATTTTACTGCGGTTCTCGGATTTTTAAAGACATTTACAGAACTTCAGGTAAGTTCGCTGATCTTTAGAGATATTTCCACAGCTTCAAAAAAATTAGAAAAAGTTCAGAATACTTCCTAAAACTTCCGGAAAGCTAAAAAAATTCTAGAAAATTCTTTAGAAAATTGTATAGATGTTCAGAGATATTTGCAGATATTCATTGAATCATGAAAATCTGCAGAGAAAATTACAGAACTTTCGATAAGTTTGTAGATTATTAGAAATTTTGTGAACATCAGAGACACTTGTTGATCTTCAAGGATCTTAAATCTTCAGGGATTCAGGAACTTTGTAGATTTTTAGGAAAATTTGCAGAACTTCTGAAGAACACACAGAACTTCAATGAAATCTGTAGAACTACCGAGACATTTGCAGATTTTCAGGAAAGATTGTTGATCTTTAAAGAAATTTTACCGGAGAACAGTCACAAAACTTCAGAGACGTCAGAAGGTTTGAAGACCTTGCAG